TACATACTCATACAATCGAGCAAAAATAACAGAACCAGTATGAAAGGAAATTAACCAAACCACTCTATATTGATCTCTTTGTTTATAATTTATAATTTTTTGACTTGATTGAGTCTATATAATAAGACAGAGCCGGATAGTGTTCTTGCTTTAGTGCTAACGTGAAACTTTTACAAAAATGACACCCGGCTCTAATGATGTCCATCATATGATGGACGAAAGCTCAGCAAGTTTTCACTCAAAACGAGGGAGCAAGTCTCGTGGACTGCGTCAATATGAATATCGCCTAAAAGCCAAACAGCTGCAGAACAACGAGTTTCATCCGTCTTCATCTGGTGAGATCGACCAACGAATCTCTTCTTCATGCACTTTCATTCGAAACGAAGGTCCCCCTAACAATACTTCAACCTTACTCTACATGCTTGCAAATGAGGGAAGTTAACTTCCCGAACAGGAAATGTGTTTAGTAGCAACTGTTTCATCACATAAAAACTAGCCTACGATCGCCTAATGCGATCTAATGTGCAGGCAATGATCATGGGTAGCATGATAGTCCTAGCTAGACACAAGGCTAATCAAGCCTCTTTCTCTTGCTCAGTGGATCTTCCTGCACTCCTTCTCTCTTCCTTTCCTTAACTCTATCCAACAGCCACAAAATGTTCCTACTTAGTCTTCTACACTCGTTCCTCCCATTCAGGACGTTGGCTGTTTTGTTAATTTCTATCGCCTCCCTAATCTTACGCATTAACGTGAAATCCCCATAAGCCTTAAAACTTTGTGTTTTGGACCAATCTATTGAGTGTCCTGTATTCGCAAAATGTGTTTAGCAAGCTCAGATTTTTGGACCCACAGGCCTCTACAGGCGGTTTTGTGTCTACATAGTCTCTTCTGAATAGGTCGGCAGGTCTTCTCACATAGACCTTACCACATGAGCATAAAACCTTATAACAGCTTGATCTAGAGAGAGGGTATGAATATTCAATAACCGAATGAATTACTCAAGAAAGTATTAATTCTCTTTAAAAAGTGTTTTTATGTTCCATTTCCTCAATAGTTCGCCCAACTTTTTCGCAAGCTGACAGGAAGGCAAAATCAGGAACCGAGTAGAATTGTCCAGTTTTCTATCCCGCGCTTGATAGCAACTCCCTTAATTTTGCTAACTACAATTGATATGTAATTGTCTACTAATCCTAATGAGTAATTGTTTTGGAACAGTATATGCCTCAATCTACAGATCTCCTGGTCCCTGTAGTTTACGTCTGCTACACGCAGACTCCTTATTCTCATAGACTTTACCTTATATGTATAGTTCAAGAAGAAATTAATAAGAAATCCCGCGTGAGCGATTTCCTATATTAGTCTTTACCAAAAACGGCAATTTATTTACTTAGTGTTTGCATCTATTCTATTTATTAGCTCAAGGAATTCCTCTAAACTACTTTTGCCGTGTTGCCAAACAGCAAAGCAATCGTCCATATAGCGATCTAATAACTTTTGAACTAGGAGTGTCTCTTGAAGCACTCGAACTTATAATTGAGTCATGTATTTATTAGCTAAAATAAGGGCTAGACAAGATACCATAGCAAAACCCCGTGTCTGCTCATAAAACCTACCATTGAAGGTAAAATACGTATTATACATTGCCAAATTGACTAATCTAATTATTGAACCTTTGCTTCGCTTTTTACCTGTTATGAATTCAGGGCGTTGATCCAGAGTAAATTCTGGCGCCTTCATTGCCTCGTTTATCTGAATATTAGTGTACAAAGACACTACATCGAAAATTACCAACAAATCTCCTCTTTCTATCGTCAGATCATCAATTAACTCAATAAAGTCGCAGGAATTCTTTACTGAAAACTTCCAAGTTTCGAAGCTTTGCTTTAACTGAGTACACATAAATCGTGATGTGTTAT